CTTATATGGCTTTAGTCACCGAGCACAGCGAGCCGTCGTGCTGACTGCCAAGAATTAGGTCATTTGGCTTTACTTTTACTTTCGTTTCAATGTATAAGAGATTTAGAAGAAAATTATTTTATTTTTTATTTGTAAAATCATATTTAAAAGAGTTTCCTATTTCGAAAGTACATTTAGAAGAAATCATATTAAACCACTTTCATCTAAAAACCCTTCTAACTATAAACAATATTTTCGGAAAATCAGTTAAAGGGATTCAAAAGTAACTTTTGCATATCAAAATCTCTTTTTAACTTTTTCAAAATCAAGTCAAACGGTTCTTTATAACATTTCAATCTATTTTGACACGAGAAGGTACGTGTGTGTGTTCATTTTAATCCGAACTCGACCCACCCGATGTTCAGATCTAAATATACGTATAAATATAATTGTGTACGGAGAAGAGACGCGATTAATCGGGCCAATTTTAGCTACTACTATGTACCGTACCATACAAATGGTACAAAGAAAAGTGAAAAAGAAAAAGGGGAAAATTTCAATCATTAGATTGTAGTTGAAAAAAGGAAACAAGAGCACAAGTCAAATTTTACATAATTATTTTATAGGCAATAATTAAATATGAAAGTATGATTAAATTAGCTCACTTTAAAGTAATTAATTATCCGTTGAAAGGGCATTTCATAAGTGAAGAAAACGGTCATGTAATTTTTAAAAATGGTCTTAGTTGAGCTTTTTCTTTTCCACATTACGCCTTTTAAGCGTTCAACGGCGCGATAGACGGGGAATTGGTGGAAGGCATTATTGTTAACAACTCCCACAAAAACGGATCTTGCAATTCAAATGACCTACCAAACTATTTTGTACCCACTTTTCAAAAAAAAAAAAAAATTCATTTTGGTTCCATTAAAATAACCATTATCTGTTCAATAATAAATGAAATCCCCCGCCCCGCCCCGCCCCTAGAGTATTGTGGAGGAAGTAAATCGTGAGATGTGCCTCAACAGGTCAGGATACAATAGCTGTCATACTGGTGCCCACAAAGAGCCAAATTTCATATCTTGTAAGAGACAGGAATCAAACTCTCAGACTGCGTCTGTCATCTTATATTGTTAATATATACATCAATAATATTTAAATATCAATTAAAGTCTTAGTTGAAATCCAAATATCGAATAATTGCTTTATTCAAGAGTTTAAGTTAAGACGAACGATATATTATATTTTAAATTGATTCGGGGCCGATTTATTTGTTTTTTAAATGAATTACGTAAAAGAAAATTTAAATCTTGAGTAGTATGGATTGGCAATATCGACAACATTATCCTCTTTTGGCCTGGCAGGTTAGGTGCGTGACGTGCGTCCATTGTGACGCTGTGATGTCTACACAAAAGGGTATAATAATTAACTTCTTTCTTTTTAGTGCTAAGTTGGTTAAAGCATTTTATAAATTCATGTTTTGCCTTTGCCTTGACGAAATTATATGGAACTTTCTTCGTTTTTCTAATTTATATATATTACGTATATAAATAACAAGATAAAAAAATATATTTAATTCAATAATCTTTTTTTTTTTTGTGGTAAAGAAGAATTCAAAGTTGAAATTCTAAAATTGCATGGTATCGAATTCAAATCTCATAAAAATATAAATGCGACTTACTTTATTATGTATTATTATTATTATAAATGTTAAAATAGATATATAACGCTGACTTTGTACGTGTGCCATGGACGAAAAACGAATATTTATTAAAACGGTCATTTCTTTGAAAAAAAAGAAATGGACTAGAATGAATGAACCTGTTCGAACAGACGAATATTCAAAAAGCACGGTCTTTCGTAAAAAAGGGAATATAATTTGATAGACAAAGTCGATGAGGCCATGTATTGGACAAGATGGAAAGATTTTAGGAGAATTTTAAATAATATTTACTCATTGGATCTTAATCGGCGTCATCATTTTGGGTAGGTGAAGTGTCTTTGGCAACATTATCTTGTGCATTCATTGTGTTTGTCGTGGTAAGTTGTTTGCATGAGACAACTATCACTTGCATCATTGCATATGCAAACTAATACTCTCTTCACACATCTCCACATCGCTATATCAATTTATATAACAATTATCTTGTCTGATTGATTGATTGAGAATTGTTATTTTCACAATCAAGATCAAGGATTCAAATATTGATACGTTATCTCTACCCTAAAGAAACATATATATAGTTATTAGTAAAAATATTTTAAAGACTCGATTCATCCTATCATGACACGGTAATTTCCCGTAGATATTATAGGTCGGTATGCTAGAAAAATGATCATATATGAATATATTAAAATGAAAAAACTCCTTTTTTATTTAGCCCTTGTTTGGTAGGGATTAAAAATTAGGTTTTTAGTAGATAAAATTTGATAAAATAAATATATAATTGAAAAGTTGTGAATCCCATTAAATACATTGTTAAAATTTATTTTTAATTTTGACTTAAATTAAAATATAGATTTTAATTCCTACCAAATAGAAGCTCGATGATACTATACATGTATAAAAATATCGTATTTCTTTTAGCTCCTTCATGTTCGCTATAACTAATTGTAACTTAAAAACCCCACTTTCTTACGATTACGAGATTTATTCGAATATGAAATTCAATCTTGAAAATACAACATACTCAAATGTATGAAGCGAATTAGCTTAGGCCCAATTTTTGTTGCTAACTACGTTGCTTAAGGCATCCCACCGTTCACTCCACTAGCCCTCCCGCAGTCGATAGCCATTGCCTTTTTTCTTTTTGTTCTTTAAAACCTTTTAATATTAAAATTTTATGTAATAGAAAATGAGTTAATTTCACCAATTTATTTAATTGGTCATTACAATTTTTTTCTTGGAAGTTTAAAGCAATTTCATTAATGATCTCTCGTTTAAAAGGGTTGACGGTACATCAAAATAATGACATTTTAATCAAAACTAACATTTACGTGTAGAATTTTATATTAATCTTTTTAATCGACTGATCATTTATGAAATCATTATAAACTTCAGTAACTAATAGAGTAAGAAAAATACTTTAATTGTCACTTCAGCATGAGAGATCACTTATAGAAATTGTTATAAACTCCGAGTACTAGAGTAAGAAAAATACTTTATTTTTTTAAAAGCTTCGGCGACGTTTTTGGTCAAATTAACTCATTAAAAAAATAGTTTTAACTCTTGCATGAATGAACACTATAAAAAAAAAAATCTAAAAATTATTGAAGATCGAGTTTTATAAACAATAATAGGTCAGGTACCAATCTACAATTTCACTAAAACGCTTCAAGTTCCATATCTACAGAAAGTGTAACAAACATGATATGAATCTTAGAAAATTTTCATTCAAGCTCAGGTTTTCAGGTATAGCACACTGTTGAAAAATACCTCGTAGATGCGTAAAAATTGGAGGTTTAAGAAGAATTGCTAATTGAAAATTCTAATCCATGCTTTTTGAAGATAGTAAAATCGTAGATGTATAGGAAATGAGAGAGAGAAAAAAAGTTCTCATACAAACGCACACATCTCAGATGTGAAAAGAAGTACAAAATTTCACGTGCAATCGCAGAGCATGAGGTACATATTCTTCTAAACGACCAAGTATTTATTTCTTACTACGGGCATTTTTCTTCTTGGCAGCTGCTTTCTTCTTCGAATTTTTGAACCTCAATCCACTCTCCTGTCACAAAATGAGCAAGTCACAATCTTATTAATTGTACATAATAATTTACATGAGACGTCAAAAAGAGAGTCGAGAAGTCTTTTTTTT